TATATATATATATCGTAAGCGTTCTGTCTATTATACTATAAGGTCATTCTCTTCAGTTGCTTTTATAAGGTTCTTTCATTTAAATGTTGGGGTGGGGTTGGGGTGGGGATGGGGAGTGGAAATCAGTTGACATTAATTAGTTGCCTAATATTCTGACAACCTGCTACATAACAATTGGCATATCAAGTTAGATTGCTAACCTAAATATGCCTGGCTTTTAATTTGGCTATCAGAAAGGACCCCAGAGTCAAATGCACCCAACCATTATGTGTTTGCAGCTAATTTTTATCCCTCTAAACTGCGTACGAAAGAAGAATCAGAGACAGAACATTGGGACATGAACGGATGTTGGATATTAGAAAGTAATGACAAATTTGGCCTCAAATAGTTAAATGACGTGATCGATATTTTAAGCTGGTGGTATCCTGATATAGATAAGTCATCACTGTACGTGAGAGATATTCATTCATTTCCAAGCAATACGTTTGGCTAATTGTCCAATAATTGTCCACGTTAGATCCGATTTCCGTTCAGAGAAGTTGCATATAATATGAATGGGTCTATATATTGAACCAGCATGGCGCCTCTGGTCGTTTCCAATTAGGCATACCTTTGGCTATTGCCAATATCGACTGTTCCATAAAAGATCACGTATTGTTTTACGTCCGCTATTCATGGGCCTATTGTTTCCTATACCATCGGGTATCTCTCGTGGCTTGCGGAAAGTAGGCCTATAGTACCGACGAGTACCTGTTAGAAATAATAATAATAGTTGTTACGCAATTTAAAAAGTTACCGTACTACGTATAGCTAAAATAAAATCAAAGGATTAAATGTAATTTGTCAATTGGTTTTCTTGTCGATGAAATTAAAAACTACGAGCAAACAAACAATTGAATGAGTGTAATGATCGGCTTATATTGCAGAGGATGGAAAAAAGAACTTTAAAAAATTACACCATTTTTATACAATGTTTCCTTTTACTGTCAAATTTTTTCCCGTTGTCTCGAAAAAAATAGGTGTGAGCTAGGGCAGACTAGAGCAAGGCAATGGTTTGTATTTGTGCTGTTTTATAATTTACATTTTCAATTTAACTATAAGTGAATAAAAGTAATTTATAGACAATACCGGTATTCAATAAGGCATTTTATTTTCCCCTACCATGACTATCAGCTGGCCAGTAATTCACTCGGGCCCTAGGCTTACACGTGTCATTTTGTAGATCACTGGTTGAAACGACAGCTCTACGGATGATTAATGATTTGACACTAACAACAAGTTTTAGGTATTTTTCGCAATGAAATAATAAACTGTTTTTATGTATTAAATTAATGCTCAGTCCCCAGTGTAATACGAAAAGACTGCATGTGACATAAAAAGAGTGTGTTTAGTTTTATTCAGAAGGCTGGGCTCAGCAACAGATGTGGCTGACATATCAATAAGTAATTTCTAATTTGAGATTAAAAATTTAAGATTTAAGAATTTTTAGTTCTTTCTCACCATGAACAGTCAGTCATTCCCGTATGCTGACATTTTTTAAGAGGCGTCTAAATATAATTCAGGACATAGAAAAACGATATTATTTTAAACTGCAAATATTTGCTATTTCAACATTTACCAGGTTTGAAACATGTTAATCAACAGATGATTAAACATCATTAGACGCGCCTGTCCAAATGCCTATGAGCTTTCCCAGGCAACTGGGTAAAGAGCAGAACCTTCGTATTCAAAATACGACATTAAAAAACGTTAAAAACAAAAACAAAAAACAAAAAAAAACACGCCAGACGGATGGTGACTGTCTCTGGTTAGATAGGAAAGAACTAAAAACTCAACGTTAAGTAAGGTCCTCTCCAAGTCATGTGAAATATATGCACCATGCTACAATATAACATCAGTATGTTATGTGGCCTGGTCATACCACATAGTACGAAATGGATATATGCGGGTCATCAAGCACAGATAAATAATTTTTTTCGGACGGACTGAGTTTGTGAGGAGTTTTATTGTGGTTTCGTGTGAGATATTCAAAGTTTTTTTCTAGTCCTACCATGAAGCGCATAACGGCTATGGTGTCTCATCCGTCGACGGGGAACGATCACTCTCTGGAAGTAGTTGCTAGCCCCACACTCGTCGTATAACATGGCAACGCACACGCACGTGACGATGATACAAGCGTAGACCGAATTACGCATTATAGTGTAACTATAAAATAAAGTACATCAAAATTAAAACGTGTGATAACAAGTTGAAATGCTTATGTTCTATTCAGTAAAACGTGTCAATTTAGGCATATAGTCTTAGTCTTAATTTAATGATCACATAATTAAAATAAATCATCAAGATTCGGATGACACCGTAAAACCTCGAATTGAAGCCCTGGGCTTCTTTTCTTTCTTCCTTTTTTTTTTTTTTTTTTTTTTTTTTTTTGCGAATTTTAGATGGTCTTCTTTTCGAGATGGGCTTCTTTTTTAGATGGGCTTCCTTTCGAGGCTACTTTTTGAAATTAAAGAGAGGGCTTCTTTTCAAAATTAATGCTGTAAATTTTGGGAATTTGTACTTTAAAACAATAAATAAGGCCACTGTAACATCAATCTGTATCAAGGAGTGTACTAACTGGCATTAAATCACCTAAACTACTGTCTAAACCAAGCTTGTTTTTATTTATTTATTCTTTTTTTTAAATTAATGTACTTATAATTTAATTAAATATCCTCTACTTGTCCGGAAGGTGTTATTTGAAATAGAAGCAAACTCAACATTTTATTCATATAGAATAACTTCTTACTATTAATGTATGGCATAAATATAGTCCTACGCTTATTCAATATCATAAACTTCAGTTCATACGCCAACATTGGTAGGACATTGGTAGTGAATAGGCAAATTCTAGGTCGGATTGACTGGATTTTTTCAGTACTGCACATAGCTACATTATTTGGATAGAAATGTCTATAGTCAGCACGCCTCATATACTATTGATAATATCAGATTGAAAATCTAACAGTAATGTGTTGGCTAGCTTATAAACGTTTATACATCCTAATAGTGATATCGATCAGAGAAGTACAATAATTTTACCTGTATAAATCCGATGATCAATATGATGATATGGATTCCAATAAATAGAGTAGATTTTCACCACCATGAACCTTCAACTGTACTCGAAGTATATTTTTGCTTGTATTTATGCTGTCAACGATTCATGAAGGAAGGGCAATTCACTATCCCAAGGCACTTCCTTTCTGGCTCGGTTCCGACCCGGCAACAGAGAAAAAAACCCAATTTATTTTCACTTGTTTTCCAAATATAGCGAATAGTCCATTGTTGCCACGACGACTGCAGTTACTTTATAGATTAAATGCGTTTCTAGATTTCGAAAGCTGTATGCGATTACGAGAAAAACACTTTTATAAATGTAAAACTTGTTTTAGTTTGAAATGATTGATTTCAAAAGACATTTACACATGGAAAACCTGTACGATGAGGTTGATCAGTACACATGCGCAGCTGAGTTATTGCCGCGAGATCGTGGATAGATTATTTAACGTCTTAGCTAAAGATCAGTTTCAATTGTAAAAATCGCCGAATGTGAGACATGCTAAATGATCTCAAACAACCCACACACAATCAATTACTATATTTGCAATCGTAAATCGTTAAAAATGGAAATCAAGTGTAGAATCAAAAGCATAGAGCTCTGTAATAGGGCGGGCCTAAGAAGATATACAGGTCCATGAAATAATAATTATTATTATTATATATATAGGCCTATATATAGGCCTATGTATATATATTATACCTAACAAATATGAATCTGGTTATATATACTTTTTCAGATTAAACATTTGAGGCGTAATACATTGTTGACGTATTTGAATTATTATTTTATTTATGTTCCTATGTTACACTTCAATTTAAACTACAGTTTATAATTATTATGAATTGCTATTAAAGTGTTTTCCTAATCCGTATTTCGTATTTTTGTAAATATTTCATGATTATTTCAAACGAAAGACATGTCTTCGTATTTAACCAGATAATATACTGAGATGAATTGCGTATAAGAATAGTTGACGTATTTGAAATATAAATGGGAGTATGCATCCAGAAGATTAACTGAGACACCCGTTATTAATGATCAGTGCAACAATAGATAACGAAGATGACACACTCAAATAGAATGGTTTTAAATGTAAAGCGTGTAATGAAGTTTTGGGTTTCATATTTCTGAAACTTTAAAAATGTTGCACTGATGACGTCAAAGTACTTGCACGTTTAAAACGACATAACAGGCATCGGTTTCAAAATGCGACTGCAAGGATATCAACCCTTTCTGCGTCATTTCTCATTGCCAGCAAACCAAAAATCATGTAGACCAGTAAAATCGTTAATCTAATCATAATAATGCTTAATTGTATTTTAATTATATTAATTGCTGTAGGCCTAATTATAATATACCGTAGCGTTTTACTGTCCAACAAAATAACAAAGCGTTTACGGCGTTAAGCCCTGTACAGACTATTCAATTTTATTTTACATGCCTAAATATGGTCATGATGACATCACATCATGACCATAAATGGGCACATCGTGACTATATATGGACATGCAACAGTTTTTTGATAAAGAACATGTGATAGTTTGGACAGATCTATACAGTATTCCTGCATGGATATTGATCACACAGTTTCATTATAATAAACTAGTATTTAACATTTCGTTTTAGTTAATTGGACGGAGTGAGATAAGTATGAAAATAGACTTGCCTTATACACTGTGGACATGAGAACAGAAGGAAATTGAAAGTTAATTGATCACGATGACCGGAGAATTATATCGCCGATGATCAGCATACTTATAGGTATTGCTCAGACCGTTTAAATTTTGTCAATGCCAATTTCTGCCTTTTTTTAAGAAATGTTTACGGTATTTATTATCTCGTTTCTCTGATGGAATATTAAGCCGTTGGTTCATGTACATAAGTGATCTAGGCCTATGTATATAATAACTCGGTCCGTTCGGAAACGAGAAGGTTGTTGTCGCCGTGTGAAGGCCCTACTGAACAATTCAAATGTTAAGAGAATAATACCCTATGTTTAATATTACACATAAAAAAACTATGCACATAGGAAAGTGATATTCAGAATTAGCTATTGGCAAGTATTACCTAAAACAATTTTTTTTAAATTATTTTTTTTTTGTTGAAATTGGAAATTTTAAATGGGCCCCAAGCCGGTCCCCTAATGACACGCGGCCCACTGTGCAGCGCCAGAACCGGCATATAACGGATACATTGTCCCTTATCCTGCATAACTCCCATGAGAGGGTTATTCGATGAGCAGAGCAATCAACACACGACGCTGGCCGGGTTTGAACCGGGGGTCTACAGCGCATGAAGCAGCACCATTACCCCTCAACGCCTAGGCATACCGTATAAAAAAAAATATTAATTAAAAACGCCAATTACATATTAGCCTCTCCCGTTTCAATTCCATATCTTGTTGAGCTTAGATCGAAATTGGACAGCGTTAATAAACTCTGATGTAGAAATAATAACATATGTTATGTTTCATCAAATTAGTGTAAGATGTTGGTGAGTGGCTGTTAATAACATAATAATACATGTGCCGATGGACTAACACGTTTGACATTTTCAAGGAAGGACACGACTTACATGGAAAATAAAAATACTCTATTAATCAAAATACTTTTTTGCTATCTTTTTTTTTTATTAAATAAATCAATCCATGGTACAATATGCATACTAGGCCTATTTATTACAATATCAACATTCGAATGAGAAATATTTAATTATACCTGTAGACATGTACATTTCCAAATATTTAATTTTAATGATTAATGATTATTATATAATTATACTGATGATTATGATTATAATAATATCACTAGTACTGCTAATAATAATTGCTATACTATAAGCCTAATTACAATTACAAGTACAGACACAATCACATTCATAAGTACAATTAAAATTCAAATCACAATTATAATTGTAAATATAATTGTATATAGGACATCTGACACAAAAAGGACACTGACGGCGAGATGGTCAATCACCTGATGGGTACTATAAATGGTAAGTGTTGGCGATACATTATGCAAGCTAAATGCAAAGATGTATGACGTTAGAAACTGGTGGAATGTTGGACATCATAAAGGCCAGAGTTTGGATTTTTAATCCTGCCAATTAATAGCGTTTTAGACAGCCCGGAATAATTTTTTGTGTGGGTACTATCGGTGAGTTTACCACTTATAGTCCACTACCCAAATCCACGGACTATGATTCTTACTATATGAGTATTTAAGACTTACAAATCTGCTCTACACTCTGAAGTAAGCTCAGAGTATTTCCTTAAGCAGAAATAGCTTGTGCCATTTGTTCCACGAATATCGTGGGCCGACTTGATATCAGTAAAATAATGATCATCGAGAGACCAGTTGAACGATTAAAGTACTGTAATTTGAAAAAAAACAAACTTTGATACAATGCTCAAATGAAAAAAACTAGACAAACACTCCCATGGGCAACAGATCTGTTTTGAAAGGTGGGAAGACAGTGGTGAGAAACAGTGCCTCTAGATGGCCGGAAATGACACTCTTATATAGTAAAATTCATCATCATCATATACTCTGGACGTACGGTAGGCCTACAGCGCTATTTCGTTAAAACCTGGCTCATGCAGTTCATTTTAACAATTTTCAGGCATCTGCTCGACTTCTAAAATTACATTGCGGTCGAAAAGTTAGGAGGATCAACCAACCTTTAAAATATGTGTGGGAACGTGTTCCCCACCCCCATGATCTGCTCCCATGAACACTCATTACATCTAAGTCATTAAACAATTCGATGTTGTTCCTTTTTTTTTAAATTTGTTTTCCCATAATCTAGTTCATCTCAATGTGTTTATAAAATCTGTTGCCTTGATTGGGCTGTTCTACATTTTTTTCTTTCACGTTTTTCAGTCCTATTATTATGACCAGCGCTATTCTTTTTCTAACCTTTGCCATAACCAGCAAGTCATTAGCTGTTGAAACTTGTAATTAATACTCTACAATGATTTCTTACGGCGTTACTCTTCAGACAGAATGAAAATACATTCAGATAATGAATAGGCAATTTGTTATTAATAAGAAACAATCAATACTAGTGGGTGCTTGATTATGCCTTCAACTTTCACCTTAATAGGTGAAGGCCTACGCGTTTTAAAATGTGATATTATTGATAATAATGCACCATTGCATATTGCAATAAACTGCTTCTAGGCCTATCTATGTTCTTTACAGATTACCTCCTTTAACTGTATCCAACACCTATCATGGGATGAACCGTCACCTCCATGGGGAACACCATTCCAAAAGCAGCTAGAATCAACGCTCATGTATTATATTTTACCAGGTACCCACTAATAATCCTTTGTGGAGAAAGACAAACCAAGATAAAGGGCCTTGCCAAGGACACAAGCGACCTGCAGCTATTGGTCGCAGAGAGCAGACCTTGGCTCCTAGGCAACATAGCTACAAATGCTCAAAATTGGATAGTAGGACCATGGTAGGACAGAGCCATGGTGAGTTTGGGGTGACTTTTTTGCATTTGATGCCTAATTTACAGATATATAAGAGATTAGACCTTAAGAAAAATGCCCTACACCTAAATATCTCGATACATAGGTCAAACTTCGAATAATATTAAGATGTCTATAGTAAAATCTGGAAAACCAACCAAAAAAAAAATTGAATGCACGCCTCCCTCGAATAAACGCCCCCTTAAAAACCCTTCTTATATGCGGCCCTGTCGCGTACCTGTATTCGAATAAATAAGGTATTTAAAACTGTAACCATTTCATATATTTGTTATCATATTGTTTGAAATTTACAAGCTCAGCTCATCACAGACGTCAGTATCTTAGCCTACAAACAACCACAGTCACGTAATATATTCACAACATTAACACTGATTCTTTAAAACAATCTTATTTAAATTAAAAACTATATACTTTAAAAAACAAAATTTTGACCATTATTAAACAACGATCCAATAATAGAATTTTACTAACAGCCACCCCCTCCACCCCCCCCCTTAAAAAACCTCCCCCCCCTTAAAAAACAATCATACAGTAACGATCGTTGATAAGGTTGCTATGCTTTGACCGATAGGCCTACTTAGGAGAATGCATAGCTCGTTATTTCTCTAAAACAAAGAATGTCTATTTTAATGTTGAGGATTATTGATTGATAAAAAAAAAATAATGAGTTAGTTGAAACCTTTAATGATGAATGACAACGTTACGGGCAAGGCAATTCAAGACGCCTATCTTCGCACATAGCACTAGCGTACAGGCCTTTTATTTGGTTTTCCAGAGAGAAAAATATTTTTTTACATCTCCCTGGTTTTACCATGTTTTTCATTCCTCCATGGTGTTACTAGTTGCGAGTACAAGCGTCAACTTCCTAGTCTATGTGTACCATACGTTTGTTGGTATTACTATTTCTTAAGTTGTTTTATGCCAGCTGCGTCTGATTTTATCTACCAAGATCTTTTAGTTCATCAAAACTCTTTTATTGATCGAAAGTGTTGGGGTAGGTGGTGCAAGAACTCCCATCGTCCAACGCCACAAGTCGGACCAGACCAAAAATATTAATATGCAAATTCATTTATTTGTTATTGTGTTCGCAAATCGTAATTATTGTGGTCACACAAAACACATTTTGGGCCATCAGGCCATAAAATATATCCCCATGATCCCCACCAGGGATATCAATGCCGGACCGGACCTGACTGAGGCTCTAGGTGGTCCCTTTGTTTCGGACTCATGTTGGGCCAATTGGACCTCTTGTCGGCACATTTCTAAGGCCACCATTGTTTCTTTTGAATATTGAATTGACAATCCAAAACAAATGTGATGTAAAATGTCTTAGTTCCAAAGTCAGAAGCTGTGTGTGTGTGTGTTTAAAATCGAATAAATTTAAATGATTGAATTGATACGAAAACCTAATGCTTTAACAGTTATATTAGCCTAACTCAACGTAGTTGAGAACTTAAGATATGACCTATGGTCGATTAGATTATCTTTTCTCGATGATACAACGTAATTAGCATTATAAAAGATTTTAAAAACGAATACCGGTATACGTTATAAATTATAATACAGTTCAGTCAATAGATTGGCGTATATTAATACTTTAAAACGTTCATTGTTATGGTAAACATGTTTATATATCTAAAGTTTAGAACCTAATATTCCAATGCAAAAAGCTCTATGCAAACCAATGGAAAAAGTCAGGCGACCAAGAGGACGACCAAAAACCAGGTATAAACACAATTGAGAGGTCTATGCATATACTGGCGAACGATCTCTCCGATTGGAGAAATAGTATTGTTGAGTGAACTATGTCGAAAGAAGTTTAGTTTTCATGATGATGGTGAAGATGATAATCTAAAGCGATAAAATTATAAATAATAAATGCATTTTGCCCAACAACATGAATACATAAGCCGAACTAAATCTCGGCAGGTCTGTAGTTTAACAATATTGATTTCAAAGACGCAAGCCGATATCTGCGTGGGTGAAATACACTGATTTAGCATATCTTCTTGAATCGCTTGTGTTTGCTGAATTTACAACCTAATTCAAAAGTGAAGGTTTCACATATACTAATATGAGATAATAAAAGAGTCACTGTTTCGCCCACTGGATATTGTATACCTGAATGATAAAGCGGACATACATTTTATAATATGTATTTTAGTCTTGAATAGTTTCCATGCAGATATTATTATTATTATTATTATTATTATTATTATTATTATTATTATTATTATTATTATTATTATTATTATTATTATTAGTATTAGTATTATTATTATTTTTATTATTATTATTATTATTAGTATTATTATTATTATTTTTATTATTATTATTATTATTATTAGGCCTATTATTATTATTATTATCCTATTATTATTATCATTATTATTATTACTATTATTATTATTATTATTATGATTATTTGAATTATTATTTGAATTATACATATGCATTGTTAAGCACGTTGTTTGTTTTTTTTTTTCTTTCTTTCTTTAGGTCTAAGTAAAAAAAAATTAAAACACAGAAAGAGTGAATTTAAAATATTAGCAAAAAAACTACGGTATGTCAATCAGTAGAAACACGCTCTCACTGGGAGCCTAATTTTATCTGTCGAGTTGTATCCACTGATCTCTTTTATTATAGTAAGTTTGGCAGAAGTTTTAGTTGATAAAATATTCATCATACCAACTCAGTGTAGCATGGCAGCTAATAGGCCTACAGTTATTATGCATCAAGAGAATTTTTAGAGACAGGCAACCCGTGCATTCCTTTTGAATTTCGGTCTGTATTAAGTTATGATGATTTACCCGAACCAATGCATTTAAGTTTTCGACTTTAAATCACTTTCCCATTCTTTGAAATAAGCTCCCGTTGGAAATCCGTGATGCAGCCATTTTTAATGTCAACTCTTTTAGTTAGCTGCTCAGGGAACATTATCATAACCATAACCTTTAATCATTGTCCATTATCTTGCTGAGTGTCTTGTCGTTTATTGTATCTGATTTTGTTTATGTATATAAAATTTATCTTTAAAAAGATGTAAAAAATCAGAAACAGACGTTTTTAATTATTTTGAATAAATGTCAAAAAATTAGAGCTCTACATAATTTAAGCATGGTTTGAGTAACATTATTATTTGAAAATATAAAATTATATGAGGATTGCCATGCCAAAACCAGCATACTGTGGCAAAATTTTAAACTGAGTAATTAGCATAGGAATGTATACTTTAGTAGAGAAGCCATAATACTTTTACTCATAACTTTGGCAATGTGCAGTACAACATATCCGTTATGTAAGCATGATGTAAGCAAGATTTCGGCATGTCTCAATGTTCGTGGTAGTTGCTAAATACAACGACTTCAACCGAAGGAGGCGTGGCTTATTTTAGTGACGTCATACAATATTACTATAGTATAGCCTTGGCATCACCTATTCACCCCACCACCCCCCCCCCCAGATTCGCCACAGAAGAAGTAGATACCAAAGACCGATGTCATATATGTTTTTATCTACTGATGTGCAATCAAGGAGGTTAATAACTATCGATGCCATTTCTCACATGGTAACTGCCGTTCCATTTCAGCTTTAAAAATTCAAAATTTAATGTGCCTAAAAATCAGGGAGGCCATTACTAAAATTAGGGCATATCCTTGTTTATAGAATAACAAAAGGTTTATTCAGCACCTCTTATGTTTTAAGTAGTTCTATGTACCATGTTTAGACCAACTTCCAGGTCAAGGTAGGACACCCATAAGATACACGCAAGGTACACCAACCGCTCATGCTTAGTACTACATCACTAGGCTAGTCAGGTCTGGCTCTCTCTAGGCCAGTACTAGCGATTCATAGTACAGTGTAAATATAATGCTATATCAGGCCCATGCCCAGGCCGCCAAGAGGGGAGACACTAATAGGGGAAAGGGTTGGTGTGCCCCTCCCCCCAGTTACGAGCGCGAAGAGCGAGAAAGATTGCGGCGAAGGCGCAAAAACTTTCTTGAGGTGGGGAGGAGAATGTCAATCTGGAGGGCCCATTATTAGGGAACCCATGCCAATATTGAGGGCCCATGATAGTAATTATTTCTGAAAAAAACTGTTGGAATAAATGCTACCTGCAATTTCTATGGGCCCTGTAAGCTCGGGGCCATGGCATCCCCCCCCCCCCTTGTCTCCCCTCTCGGTGGCACTGCCCATGTCTATCAAATCGCAGGCCTGCAGCACCACATTATTCGATCTGTAAACATAACACGTAGGCCTAAAAGAAACAGGCCCGTACGCAGGATTTTTATACGAATTTGTGGAGAGTGGACCAAAATTATTGGGGGCCGCAGATTCCTGCTGGGGTCGAGTGGGCGGAGTCCCCTCGCGCTCAGATATTTTTCATAATTTGACTTAGGCCTAACTGATTCTGAAGATCAATATCAACAGTATTAAACTGTTTTTCAGTGACAGATTCAAGAAATAAGGGGAGGGGTATAGGGAGGGATTTTCCTAGTTGGAGACTGCTCTGATTGGTCAAGGAGTTTGGTGGATCGATTTCTGGAATGTGTGAGTGTGTATCTTGAATTTTCTACCCCTGAAAATGTGGACCTTTCGTAATTTGATTGGGTACTTACGCTCCCGTCGCACCCCTCCTGCGTACAGGCATGAGAAATGACGTTTCAGGGGCTTTGATCGTCGCTGTGTGAAAACAGCATGATGAATAGTACTGTAATATTGTATGATGTCACTAAATGAAGCCAAGCCTCCCTCGGTTGAAGTCGTGGTATTTATCATACCGCGCCCAAGTGGCGCATTAGTTGAAAGC